GTTTTAAAAACTGGTCAGGGTGATTAAAACATTGGGATTGGCGAGAAACATGATCGATTCCGGGATTTTAAGGATTTTTCTGTACATTATGACTGGGGTCCAAATTTCTTTTTTACATATTATTAGTCTAAGAGACGAAAAAAAACAAGTAAGGGCGTGAAGTGGGTTGAGGAAATGGAAGAGTAAGACGTTTCAATCCTTTACTGATAGTAAATTTGTTTTTCGGAAGATTTGTTCCAGACTGTACGCCTTTCTGGCAACAACAACTGCTATACTCGCCGTGGATTTTGATGTGTTCCCACGCCGTTTTGCAAAAACATCGATTTACGGTCGAAGTATAATGGATCTTGGAACAGCCACATTTGTTTATTGTTTTGCTGTAGTCGATGTATTCCGGGAGTTCCCGGGAAGGATCAGAAGTCCCATCGCTCTAGGATATAGGTTATCTTGTTTGGTAATTTGAAGATGCTGAACTTGAAACCCCTAGATCTCCAAAAATTTGAATTTTCACTCGCTCCTGACGAGGATCAGAGGTGGGGAATTTAGCATACGGTTTCTGAAAAAAGGATTTATCAGGCTGTGCTTTTGAACATCAGTGCCAGTTTATTATCGAAACGAATCGTGGATTTGTAATCCCAGTACTACGCTAAGTTCGCAAGTCTATGCCCATACGAATCCAAAAAATTTCCCAGTCGCTGGAATGAAAGGATTCACTGTTGCTGTTTCCAGTTATTTCCCTATCAAGCCATCATCAGCGTTTGTCCTGATTCTGTTTGGTGTTATCAGAACAGTGGCACTTCGTTTGGTACACTATCCATATCAAGTTATCGAGTATGGCGTACACTGGAACTTTTTTATCACTCTCGGATGTCTTAGAGTATATTTTATGCGTTTTTTTTTTCACGTATTAAGATGGAGACAAAGCAAATAGAAGGGTCATTTAGCAGATTGTCCACAGTGCGATACAGTTTTGGTTAAAAGAATTGGAAAAGTTGTCGGCTGCATTGTTGGAGAGGGGGAAAAGGAGGGGGGAGAGACTACGAATTACAGTTAGTCAAACATCCAAATTATTTTTGCTGCATGGGAATGACCAGCACCAAGAACATCAGTATTGCGAGGGCCGTTAATATGGATTCCATGTTACTGCTGTTGCCGGGTTGCTCCCGTGTGCTAAGCGTAGCTGTCCAGGCTCACAGATTCTGGGCTGAAAATCTTCATTTGGTATCCAGTGTCGTGTCAAACACAAAGTGTGATGACAGTCTTTATTCAAGAATGTTTCGTATTATTCTTTTTTGCGTATATAAGAACTATATGTGGGGGATTCATAAGGAGGGAGGAGTAGGTATTGTTCTCGGAAAGGACAAAGGTCATTTTACTGGAAGAAGAACAAGCGAGACGAAGTCATGACCCAGAAGCTTGAAAGTCCGACAGGGTTTTTTAGTTATTTGCGCTCGTGGTTGTTAGTTGGGGTCACAGTGAAGAGGAGAAGAAAGACAAGGAGGACCGTAAAGAGATTTAGCCGCTCAACCACATGAAACAGAAATAATTTGGGATTCTTGTGTTTGTATCGGTGCTGCTGAAATTCTACTGAACTTGGTCGTTGTACTGTGATGAAATAGAATTTATTCCTCACTACACTGACCACCACCCATCAGAGTTATGAGCAAAAAGATCAACACCCACCACCTGTCCGGTACTTCTTCGGAAACTTCCGGAATGTCGTGTACACTTCCCTGCGCGTAATACTCACCAATCGTCGACAAGCGAGCAACCTGCTCTGCTTGATGCCAGCGATATCATTTGACAGTGGTCAAATAACTCTCGCAATTCAAGAGAGTTTTTAAAATTCTAGGAAATCGCATAATTTCAGGCAGTTGTTGATGTACTGGGCCGCCGATTTCATCTATTATTAGGCATTATCATTGCAGTAACATACCAGTATTTTCTAACTGGTCAAAGATTGCAGGTTAGTGTCTGCTGTGATGTCAGCACTTAAACAGGACTTCAGCAACGGAGTACTTCTGGCTGGTAGCCAAAAGTTCAGTCCCGATTTTTATTTCATTCGTTTCAATGGTAAAATGACGCTGACGCTATTGACGCAGTTTGTGCAAAGTGTTTTTTCACTTTTCCGGCATGCAGGATCGATATAACTGTTACAGATTACTTTTTAGATGTATTTGCTATCAGGTAAAATAAAAAGATCAGATTTTCTGGCGAAAAATCGTGAAGGCATCTCCTCGGTGCTTGGTTATTTGTCAATTTATTATTTCGCTTCGGCCATTGCCAGCTTCTTATTCTCAGAAATTGCTCCTCATAATTATTGCAGTAATGAAATACATCTCAATAAAGCTGAAAAAAGGTTCATTTTTGCATTAATACTGTATTCAAACAAACTCTGTGGCTACTAGTTATTTGACGAGCCAGAAATACCAAGACAGTCCGGACAGTCATGACAGTGGTGTTGCTGAAATGCTTCACACCGGTCGCAACTACTGCAAACATTTCAGTCCCGAGCTCCAAACATCCAAATGTTCGGCAGACCCAGGTGTACCGCCTTATTATCTAAGTATCTATAATAAAGCCAGTTAACATATGTCACAAAAGTAATTTTAATGAGGCGCTAGTTGAGATGTGCGTAGCCAAAGAGCGAAGAATACTTGGTGTATCTCTTCCGTAACCATATGAAAGTAAAAATTTTTATGTGATGGAGTTGTTTTACGTGTGTGGATCGCTGTGTGGCATGGTGCGTAGACTGGAGGGCCAATTAGATAAATGACAAATTTATGTCTTACTTACTGCAAGCAAACAACAGCAATAATATACAAGGCGCGATGCTTGGGTTCTGACGAACAAAGTGGCCTGCTGAGCAGG